TGTGTATCAGCTACTTGTTTTATACTAAACTATCTCTTATTATCAATTGATGTTTTATCTACAAGTAATGTACTTGCTTGGGTGTGTTCAAATTATTCACATATGTACACCTGTCAATAATTCATATATGTACACCTGTCAATAATTCACATATGTACACCTGTCAATTATTCACATATGTAAACCTGTCAATTATTCACATATGCACACCTGTCAATAATTCACATATGTACACCTGACAATAATTCACATATGTACACCTGTCAATAATTCACAAATGTACACCTGTCAATAATTCACATATGTACACCTGTCCATTATTCACATATGTACACCTGTCAATAATTCACATATGTACACCTGACAATAATTCACATATGTACACCTGTCAATAACTCACATATGTACACCTGTCAATAACTCACACATGTACACCGGTCAATTATTTTTATGGTCCTCTATATAGAGTGTATACTTAATTTTCATTACCAAGAAAATGTATTTTTAGTTTAAGTCTTTACGAAGTTTGTAAACACAAATATCTACCAAATTAATTCAGTCAGTCTCAAAGAAATAGTCTTTAGTGATAATTTATTGTCACGTTATGAGGAGTTTTATAGATACCTTCCCTCTATATCATTATTTCTACTGTACATTTTAGACATTGATTTTAATTCGTTTGACATACATTACCATTTGTCCTATACGAACGAAATGACCGTATGGTATATTTTGATGTTTTCATTGAGAACCTTTACTTATTGTATAAGTGTTTCCTAACTTCGTATTTCTAGTAATACTATTGACATAAAGCTGTATTTATATTTTTACAGACGTTGGGTCGCTTTAGCGGTGAATTATACATACATACATACACTAATGCTTTGATTATTTCTTTAATTGTACAGTTTTACGTGTACCCAATGTCTATTTTGCAATAAGGACACAGAATGATTTCAGATGATAACCACGGTGAATATACTTCATGTAATTGATTGAACTTTATGTTTTTACACTACTGATTGGCCCGAGTGATGGCGCGAAGGGTGTCCTGGGAGGAATCCGGAGTACTCGGAGAAAAATTCCCATACTTCTACAGTTTTTGGTAATTGTTCGGGAATCAAGAGGACATTATCATATAGATATAGAATTCTAACTCCATCCTCTACATATAATAATATTTAGCCTTTAAAATTGTTTTTAAATTTCACAAAACCAAAAGCTTAAGAAATCATGACGGTATTTATACATATATAAACTCAACTACCTTTGATCTAACATCAACATCACTAATAATGTTCTGGTTGGTAGCTAAAGTTCGATAACTCCTACATAATATAAGATGCAATGTGCAGCACTGAAAGAACTTACGAGTGACAAGGATATTGTGGCGTCCATTCTTTAATTTTACAAACAGGATGACGATAATTTGAATTTGCACCTCAGATTAAAACTATTCTAATTTCTTACAGAAATACAATAATTATGGTCGTTTCACTGCCAAACTGTATATTATTTACCTACAGCATGATAAAAATTGTCAATTTTTTTTGACGAATTGCAATACAAAAGTGACCACTTTGATTTCAAAAACGTGACGGAAGTCGTAATAACGGGTGCAACATGTGGTTGAGGAAATTCTGATCCTTCCCGATCGTTATTCTCTGGCTTGTTATGAGAGTTGATGATGTTTCATGTTTGTTTAAACGTCTGATACTTTACGTTTTTATATTTCTATGAACCACCTGTAAAGACTTTTCCTTGTTTGCTTAATTTAGAGTACGAAGAAAATCTATTCTAAGATGAAGTCGTTATGAAGTTTGTAAACATAAATATCTGCCAAAGTGTTTATAAATCTTCATTCGAAAAATACAAGAACCGTTTTCTTTTTGCGTTTAAACATTCTTCATTTGGTGGATTTTTGTATTGAAAATTTCATTTTACATTTTGAAAAAATGACATGTTGATGTTCTATGGTGTCGTAAGGTGGAGTAACACGGTGACTTTGTTTGGATTTCAGCATTGATAAACTACATTTTCAAACAATGGCTCCTTACCTCTACTTTCTTGCAATATTTTTTATGGAAATCCTAGCTTTTTATTTTTAAGGACCGCTACAGTGGTGAGTTAGCCTAAAATAACATTATGATTTCTTTAATTGTAGAGTTTGACATGTGTCTACCATTAAGTTGTGATAACATTAATTGAACAGTTAAACATGCACTAAGTGTTTATTTCAGAGGAGAACCATGTGGTATACTTTATGTTAAAGTGTACACGTTTCAAATATCACACGTCAGCACCACTTATAATGTCTCTGATAAGTAGCTTAAGTTCGATAACTCGTACATTATAAAAAAGCATGAAATATTGATATTGTGGATTCCTATTTTTCATTTGTTTAGCTTGACGATTCCTGTCTGAGTGACACCAATCTACTGTTTACTTTCATCATTATAACCTAATTTTTTTTCCACCTATGCAATTATATTTCAACAAATATTATGTACTTACAATGCTGCGAAGATTTGACGGAAGACTTCATTACAGGTGCTACATATGTTTCTGCAAATACTTTCCCTATGGTCCAGACCACATGGTTTCCCTATGGTCCAGACCACATGGTTTCGATATGGTTCAGACCACATGGTTTCCCTATGGTCCAGATCACATGGTTTCCCTATGGTCCAGATCACATGGTTTCCCTATGGTCCAGACCACATGGTTTCCCTATGGTCCAGACCACATGGTTTCGCTTCCAGGTTTATGTGCAGGTTAATGATGCTTACAGTTTATTTTGATGTCTCATCTATTTCTGTTCTTAATTTTCTTTTTCACTTACTTATACCAAAAGTACTTATTTCTTGCTTATTTTCAATTAAGATTATATCTACACTGTACCAGTAAAGTGCTCGATGTGATTTGTACCAATTATTTGCCTGTGTGTACCAGTTTATAGTATGTATATTGCCAGTAATTGTTTAATGTTCCAGTAGTATTTTTTAACAGCTAAGAACGATAGTACATCGTCAGGACATCGTCAGAACATCGGCGAAGAAGTTAGCAACGGCAGGCGACGGTAGAAGTTTTTGAACATGCTCAAAAGTTTCCGCCGCTGCGCTGCCGGAGTGATCAACGGGACTGCAACGGTAGTACAACTGCAGGATCGGCGTCTCTCCGGTGGCCTCCATGTGTATTGTACTGGTACTTACAACCGAAGTAGTTCTGATACTATGCCACGATGTACTAACGATGTACTACGATGTACTACCGTTCTTAGTGATGCGCAACGGTATCACTCTGCTATAGCTCCGGTCAACGGTGGCACATCGGTAGAACAACGGTGGCGACTTTGTATAACATCTGCGGCGCATCGGTAACACTAAGGTGACAGAAAAGTGGTATTTGGTAGCACATCGGCTCTTACATCGGTAGAACACCGGTACTTCATCTGTATTGCTACGGTCATTTTTGATTTTTCAAGTACTTTTTCGCCGGAGCTCTGCCGATTTTCTCGCCGGTGTTAATCTTTTGCTCCGGTTTAGTCCCGGCGAGGTACATCGGTGTGTGATAGACCCTTTAGTGTAAAGGAATTGTACATTTAACACGAAGACTGTAAACATAACGATCTACCAAAGTCTTAAACTTTTTTTAAAAAGATTGTTATTTCGCGTTCTTGACGTCAAGCTTCTTTGATATATTTAATTTAATAAAAAGGTCGCCAAACCGCACAAAATAGCTTAATAAATCATGACAGTCTGCATTTTTACAAAGGCTATAATACATATGTAGTATTTCTTTCTGTTTATACATGCTTGTACATAGATACAAACAAAGTTGATCATAAGAAACCAAACGTTTCAAATCAAAGACATTAGGTAATCTGGTAGCAAAGGTTCGATAACTCGCAGACAGGAGCGACTACATATATCATATACGGAAAAGTTACAGGAATCAGTATGTCTAACCTTAATCGATTCATTTAGGAAGGGTGTAAAATTAAGTACTTGTTTATTAAAAGTTACATTTGAGGTACTAGAAGTACGTTTTCATATTTCATTTATCTTTATTTTTAACATATTTAATTATTTTTGTGTTGTTTCAAAGATATTGCATAATCACTGCGAGCTGACCCCGGATGTAAAAATAGCTTCTGATTTAGCGTCATCACAACAGCATATTTGTGTTAATAGTGAAAATAATATTTGTAACAATCCGGCCGACAAAACTTGTAGACAATGTGTAATTTCTATACATCACAAATATCATGAACGATTACTTAGTAGACGTAACAATGTGCCCTATACAATGTATGTGTTGTAGACAATGTGTAATTTCTATACCTCACAAATAACATGAACGATTACTAAGTGAATGTAACAATGCGCCCTATACAATGTATGTGTTGTAGACAATGTGTAATTTCTATACCTCACAAATACCATGAACGATTACTTAGTAGACGTGGGAATGTGCCCTATACAATGTATGTGTTGTAGACAATGAGTAATTTCTATACCTCACAAATACCATGAACGATTACTTAGTAGACCTAACAATGTGCCCTATACAATGTTTGTGTTGTAGACAATGTGTAATTTCTATACCTCTCAAATAACATGAACGATTACTAAGTGAATGTAACAATGCACCCTATACATTGTATGTGTTGTAGACAATGTGTAATTTCTATACCTCACAAATTCCATGAACGATTACTTAGTAGACGTAACAATGTGTCCTGTACAATGTACGTGTTGTAGACAATGTGTAATTTCTACACCTCACAAATACCATGAACGATTACTTAGTAGACCTAACAATGTGCCCTATACAATGTATGTGTTGTAGACAATGTGTAATTTCTACACTTCACAAATACCATGAACGATTACTTAGTGTACGTAACAATATGTCCTATACAATGTATGTTTTGTCGACGTGGGTGTCATTTTGAATCGCTTATGATTATAACAGTGATATCCATAATTCCACAGCAATGAACATTTTATTATACACGTATTGGTGATAATATGTAGACTCCGATCAAAGCAGACAAATGTAATATTATTCGCATTTGTTTTTAAACAAATTGCATGCATTTTTTGCAGAACGCATGAGACATTATTCGATTCATGTCTGGATAATTCCTTGAAAAGTCTAAAGATGTTATTTGCGGAGTGGGGCATGTGCTTAACATAAATTTGCAAATGCAGTGTTATCCAATATAATAATAAATGTACAAATGGAAATAAAATCTGCCGTTTCTGACATTTACATTTCCTTATAGGTAGTACTGCTTCGTAAAGTATCTTTAAGGGAAACAACCCTTTATTATAATTTCAAGGAAGTGGCTTTTAGGATTTCTTCATGACACTTGACACTATGACTATATCTAATTATTATGTTGCCTAGAACGATATATTTTCGTTCAACTGCGTTGTTGTATCGTTACTGGTTTAAGCAAAGGTCTTGCTGCATTAGCAAAATTGTTTTTGTAAAATTAAATGATACTTCTTTATTCGTAGCCCAGGATCGAACGTGGAGCATTAAAAAAAAAAAAAAAACACCTTCGAACCGTGTTGTTTACAAAACACGATGAGGTAATAGAAACGATATTTTTCTGAATAATTTCTCATTGATTTGGGAACACTGCAATATATGAGGTAGTTAATACAAGACTAATTTACATATTTTCGGTAAGTATGTAACCCCACTCCACAATACCCCATAGAGCGGATAACTAAACTATAGGACATGGGCCAGCAGTGATGAAAGCTGTAGAAGTAATGGGAAACCGTATTATAGTGATAACGTGGTAAATAAACGACAACTGTTGGGAAAACGATTTAATGAAAAGTCCTGCTTATAAAAACGAATGATCAGCATACAAAAACATCTGCACACTAAATGATGATATAAGTGGTATATTTGCTACAATTACGTTTCATGAAGATTATTTTTTTCTGATTATTTTATCTAAAATAATAGCAAGAACGTAAAGAGAATTCGAAAGTAAAAATTCTCAGCGAAGGCAAAGAATTGAAAAGAGTAAAGTGGTAAGATTATCGTTGAGTGTAAAAGCTAGAGAAATCCCTCAGAGCGAACTCGTTACACTCGCCGTTAATGCAACAGAAACTACACTTCATCGCCATCCCGGGGAGGCCAGACGGGCTGTCGTCCATGTTGAGGAGACAGTCCGGTTGGGGGGAAGTCTTGTGCCACCACTTGTCAATGCAGACGGCTTCTGTCACACATCTGAAAGAAGACCACGCAACGTCCTTATCATCTATTACTTAAACACTGATTGATCATAATGTTTAGTTCCCTTTCACAGTTTTACTATGTAAAGTTTTCATTGTGATTAACCATCTGCTATAGAAACTGTTGCTTGTCGCCTTGTCCTCTCTGAAGACGCATTTTGCTTCTCGGTTGCATTTGACAAATCCTGTTTGTGAAAACGTGGTCACCAGTATTATATAATTAACATTGCTACTTATGCTTTCTCCCTTGGTGAAGCAGCGGTATCAAATCGTCAAATTTTCTATGCTTCCTGTCCATTGCTCCATGCATATAGCTAGTAGCTAGTGATAAGTATGACTTACCCCTTGGTGATGGCACGATCTCCAGTGACCAGATGCTATATATAGATGTTTGGATGTCAGTATGACTTACCAATTGGAGACGTCACGGTATTTATTCACATACTACTATACGGACGTCTGGATGTGAGTGTGCATTGCCGCTTACCCTTTGATGAAGGCAGTGTCCGTCCACCTCCTGCAGTATATATATGTCAGCATGCTCTAAGAGGTCTCGAGTAAGCCGCTGCTATATGGGTACATTGCTGTCTGTGTACCTTACCCCACGCCATTAACGAGTATCTAGCTACCAGTATGACTTACCTCTCGGTGATGGTGCGTATCCAATGCTTCGCTGCTCTATGAGTATCTGGCTGACAGTATAACTTACTCCTTGGTGAATGCCAGTCTAAAGTGGCTGGCCGCCCTATGAGTATCTGGCTGACAGTATAACTTACTCCTTGTTGAATGCCAGTCTAAAGTGGCTCGCTACTCTATGAGTATCTGCCTGACAGTATACCTTACTCCTTGGTGAATGCCAGTCTAAAGTGGCTGGCCGCTCTATGAGTATCTGGTTGACAGTATAAATTACTCCTTGGTGAATGCCAGTCTAAAGTGGCTGGCCGCTCTATGAGTATCTGGTTGACAGTATAAATTACTCCTTGGTGAATGCCAGTCTAAAGTGGCTGGCCGCTCTATGAGTATCTGGTTGACAGTATAAATTACTCCTTGGTGAATGCCAGTCTAAAGTGGCTGGCCGCTCTATGAGTATCTGGTTGACAGTATAAATTACTCCTTGGTGAATGCCAGTCTAAACTGGCTCGCTGCTCTATGAGTATCTTGCTGACAGTATAACTTCCTCCTTGGTGAATGCCAGTCTAAAGTGGCTCGCTGCCCTATGAGTGTCTGGCTGACAGTATAACTTACTCCTTGGGGAATGCCAGTCTAAAGTGGCTCGCTCCTCTATGAGTATCTGGCTGACAGTATAACTTACTCCGTGGTGAATGCCAGTCTAAAGTGGCTCGCTACTCTATGATTATCTGCCTGACAGTATAACTTACTACTTGGGGAATGCCAGTCTAAAGTGGCTCGCTACTCTATGAGGATCTGGCTGACAGTATAACTTACTCCTTGGTGAATACCAGTCTAAAGTCGCTCGCTGCTCTATGAGTATCTGGCTGACAGTATAACTTCCTCCTTGGTGAATGCCAGTCTAAAGTGGCTCGCTGCTCTATGAGTGTCTGGCTGACAGTATAACTTACTCCTTGGTGAATACCAGTCTAAACTGGCTCGCTGCTCTATGAGTATATGGCTGACAGTATAACGTACTCCTTGGTGAATGCCAGTCTAAAGTGGCTCGCTGCTCTATGAGTATCTGCCTGACAGTATAACTTACTACTTGGGGAATGCCAGTCTAAAGTGGCTCGCTACTCTATGATTATCTGCCTGACAGTATAACTTACTACTTGGGGAATGCCAGTCTAAAGTGGCTCGCTACTCTATGAGTATCTGCCTGACAGTATACCTTACTCCTTGGTGAATGCCAGTCTAAAGTGGCTCGCTGCTCTATGAGTGTCTGGCTGACAGTATAACTTACTCCTTGGGGAATGCCAGTCTAAAGTGGCTCGCTCCTCTATGAGTATCTGGCTGACAGTATAACTTACCCCTTGGTGAATACCAGTCTAAAGTCGCTCGCTGCTCTATGAGTATCTGGCTGACAGTATAACTTTCTCCTTGGTGAATGCCAGTCTAAAGTGGCTCGCTGCTCTATGAGTGTCTGGCTGACAGTATAACTTACTCCTTGGTGAATACCAGTCTAAACTGGCTCGCTGCTCTATGAGTATCTGGCTGACAGTATAACGTACTCCTTGGTGAATGCCAGTCTAAACTGGCTCGCTACTCTATGAGTATCTGGCTGACAGTATAACTTACTACTTGGTGAATGCAAGTCTAAAGTGGCTTGCTACTCTATGGATATCTGGCTGCTGTCAGTATGACTTACCCCTTGGTGAAGACACGGTCTCCAGTCGGGCTCTGGTCAATAGTTGTTAGACAGTAGTGAGAGTTAGACGGACATGTCTGAAGCTTCTGATTGTTGCAATGGCTGTCATCACAGGTGTAACACTGAAAAGCTGGAACCGCCATCGATTTATTATATGTGTCATCTTATAGTTACACAAGTTATGTTCTCACGCTAACCGACATATGGAAAGAAGAAAATCGACAGGAGATAATTGGTAAATCAGAAAATGATTAAAAATTAAAAAGCGACAGGATTAAACGGACATAGAAATAAAAACATCCAAACCTGGCTTCTGTGTTGTCGAAGATCCTATCGTTGTATTGGGCATCATTGAAGTGGGGAGCACAGTTGTTGTTGCCGACTTCTTAGCAGTGGGCGCCGTTGAGATTGGTGCAGCAGTTGTGGGCGCAGTGGTGGTAGGCGCTTTGGTTGTAGTTGGAGCTACGGTGGTGGTTGGAACAGCTGTTGTTGGCATTTTGGTTGTTGCTATTTTTGATGTTACTGGGGCTCTAGTTGATGTTGGCGTTGTTGTTTGCACCTTCGCTGTGGTTGTCGCTTTAGTGGAGGATGGCGGACTTGTTGGAGCTTTTGTTGTTGCTGGCGCACTAGTTGAAGTTGGTGCAGTGGTTGGCCCCTTAGTGGTTGTCGGTAACTTTGTTGTTGCTGGCGCACTAGTTGAAGTTGGTGCAGTGGTTGGCCCCTTAGTGGTTGTCGGTATCTTTGTTGTGGCTGGTGCACTTGTTGATGGTTTTTCAGTTGTTTGAGATTTGGTTGAGGACGAAGGCGTAGTGACCGGAGATTTGGTTGTTAACTTTGACTTGAAAGTCGTTCCAGCAGTTTTTAATGGACCCACCGTCGTCGACGGCTTGGCTGTCGTGGCCGTTTTCGTAGTCGCTGCAGTTGCTGATAGCTTTGTTGTTGGGATGGCGGTGGAAGGCGTTGTCTTGCCTGTTTGTATAGTCGATGAGCCTTTGACAACAAGTGTTTGTAGGGCGACCTTAGCTGTGGTTTTACCAGTCTGCGCCGTGACTGTTGGCTTCGGGGTACTGGCAATAGAGCCTGTTAAATAATAAAAGTCAGGATCGAAATGTTGAATAAAGCACAGTAGACACTCAGAAATCGTTATATCAAATGTGCTTTACATAAGTGAAACAATGGGGATCTGAAACTCATATCACGTACGTTTAAAAGTGTTGAAATCATAGTAAAATCTAAAGATAAAAACGTATGGCAATCCATTTATGATTTTAAGTTAAAAAATGTCCTTTGTATTAATAATCCATCCGTTTATTTAAAAGCTTTACTACAATTGCCATGCACAGAGCGAACCCTCTTATCTAGCGGGTTATGTATATCAACATAGCATATATAAACCGTATTCTAATAAATCATAACAATGTACATTTGTAATTGATGACGTAAATACTTATATAAAAAATAAGCAAATAAAAAGAGTAAATATATGCAAAGATTAATTATGATGAAACTTTGACAGTAAGTTATGTACGTTATCAATGCTATTTTCTTGTTCAATGGTGAGTTTGTTTCGTATTGATTATCGTACAACCAGAGTATGTATTCTTGCCATTTTGATAAATAAATATGATTTTCTAAAAATGTCCTTCATGTTGGTAAGTATGGATTTTGATAAGTGTCTTGTTACACAACCAATAATAAGTGTTTCTATGTGACGTTTCAATGACTAGTACGGTATGTACTCTGTCACCTTCATCAGACAAACGACCAGTAAAGCGTACGTACACAATTCGGCTACGCTGTAAGCGTATGCACAATAGTTGAGGGTCCCTAAATCATCCATTTGTCTGATGAATGTGACAGAGGTCATACCGTACTAGTCATCGAAACATCACATAGAAACACTTCTTGGTTGTGTAACAAGAAACTTTTCATAATAAATATGTTTATTTGTATTTTATAAATATGGTATTGATAAAGAGTACTTATAAACGTTTTGGCAGCTGTATGGTTGAATGGTTTTATGTGGTAGACTTGTCAGAATGAGACCAATACGACATAGTTTAGCCCACTTTCAGGTCTAAATATACCAATAGGACAGGTCCTACCTTACTAAAGGACCCTATGGTACAGATTGTATGATACCATAGTGTACAAAAGTACTACTTCTACCATACCATTGGGTACAGCGGTACTGGTTCTACTATATCAAAAGGTCCAATAGTACAGGTCCTACCACACAAAAAGACCTATTGTGACTGGTTGTATTATACCATAGGGTACAGCGGTACTGGTTCTACCATACCAAAAGGTCCAATAGTACAGGTCCTACCACACAAAAATAGTACAGGTCTTTTTATACAAAATGGTCCAACGATACCGAAGGGGCATACCCTATTGTACAAAGGTACAGGTTGTACTATACCAAAGGGTTCCATGGTTCTTGTTCCTTCATTCCAAATCAAATTATACTGGTCATATCACACCAAATACTAGTAGTCCACTTATACTGGTCATATCACACCAAATACTAGTAGTGCACTTATACTGGTCATTTCACACCAAATACTAGTAGTCCACTTATACTGGTAATTTCACACCAAATACTAGTAGTCCACTTATACTGATCATATCACACCAAATACTAGTAGTCCACTTATACTGGTAATTTCACACCAAATACTAGTAGTCCACTTATACAGGTCATATCACACCAAATACTAGTAGTCCACTTATACAGGTCATATCACACCAAATACTAGTAGTCCACTTATGCTGGTCATATCACACCACATACTAGTAGTCCACTTATACTGGTCATATCATACCTAATACTAGTAGTCCACTTATACTGGTCATATAACACCAAATACTAGTAGTCCACTTATACTGGTAATTTCACACCAAATACTAGTAGTCCACTTATACTGATCATATCACCCCAAATACTAGTAGTCCACTTATACTGGTCATATAACACCAAATACTAGTAGTCCACTTATACTGGTTATATCACACCAAATACTAGTAGTCCACTTATACTGGTTATATCACACCAAATACTAGTAGTCCACTTATCCTGGTCATATAACACCAAATACTAGTAGTCCACTTATACTGGTTATATCACACCAAATACTAGTAGTCCACTTATACTGGTTATATCACACCAAATACTAGTAGTCCACTTATACTGGTTATATCACACCAAATACTAGTAGTCCACTTATCCTGGTCATATCACACCAAATACTAGTAGTCCACTTATACAGGTCATATCACACCAAATACTAGTAGTCCACTTATCCTGGTCATATAACACCAAATACTAGTAGTCCACTTATACTGGTAATTTCACACCAAATACTAGTAGTCCACTTATACTGATCATATCACACCAAATACTAGTAGTCCACTTATACAGGTCATATCACACCAAATACTAGTAGTCCACATATACTGGTCATATCACACCAAATACTAGTAGTCAAATTATACTGGTCATATCACACCAAATACTAGTAGTCCACTTATGCTGGTCGTACCGTACCAAAATATATTCAATAGTAAAGGCATAATAGTACAGGTACTACTAAATCAACTTGTCAAATACTACCGGTTTCATTTTACAAATTCACGTTTCACATGATTGAAAGGTCATAGAGTACTTAGACTTCCATATATAATGGTCCAATAGACCTGTTCCAATAAAAAGGGTCCTACCATACCAAAATACCCATTAGTACTGGTTCTACTATACCGAAGGATCATTGGTACTGGGTCTACCATACCGAAGGATCCATTGGTACTGGTTCTACCATACAGAATACAGAAGGATCCATTGGTACTGGTTCTACCATACCTAATGGTCCATGGGTACTGGTTCTACTATACCAAAGGGTCCATTGGTCCTGGTTCTACTATACCAAAGGATCCATTGCTACTGGTTCTACCATACCTAATGGTCCATTGGGACTGGTTCTACTATACCAAAGGGTCCATTGGTCCTGGTTCTACTATACCAAAGGATCCATTGGTACTGGTTCTACTATATCAAAGGTTCCATTGGTACTGGTTCTACCATACCTCATAGTCCATTGGTACTGGTTCTACCATACCTAATGGTCCATGGGCACTGGTTCTACTATACCAAAGGGTCCATTGGTAATGGTTCTACCATACCAAAGGATCCATTGGTACTGGTTCTACTATATCAAAGGATCCATTGGTACTGGTTCTACCATACCGAAGGATCCATTGGTACTGGTTCTACCATACCTAATGGTTCATTGGTACTGGTTCTACTATACCAAAGGATCCATTGCTACTGGTTCTACCATACCTAATGGTCCATTGGTACTTGTTCTACCATACCTAATGGTCCATTGGTACTTGTTCTACCATAACTAATGGTCCATTGGTTATGGTTCTTCCATACCAAAGGATCCATTAGTACTGGTTCTACCATACCAAATGGTTCATTGGTACTGGTTCTAACATACCTAATGGTCCATTGGTACTGGTTCTACCATACCTAATGGTCCATTGGAACTGGTTTTACTATACCAAAGGGTCCATTGGTACTGGCTCTACCATACCAAAGGATCCATTGGTACTGGTTCTACTATATCAAAGGATCCATTGGTACTGGTTCTACCATACCTAATGGGCCATTGGTACTTGTTCTACCATACCTAATGGTCCATTGGTTATGGTTCTTCCATACCAAAGGATCCATTAGTACTGGTTCTACCATACCAAAGGATCCATTGGTACTGGTTCTACCATACAGAAGGATCCATTGGTACTGGTTTTACCATACCTAATGGTCCATTGGTACTGGTTCTACCATACCGAAGGATCCATTGGTACTGGTTCTACCATACCTAATGGTCCATTGGTACTGGTTCTACCATACCAAAGGGTCCATTGGTACTGGTTCTACCATACCTAATGGTCCATTGGTACTGGTTCTACCATACCAAAGGGTCCATTGGTACTGGTTCTACCATACCTAATGGTCCATTGGTACTGGTTCTACCATACCAAAGCGTCCATTGGTACTGGTTCTACCATACCTAATGGTCCATTGGTACTGGTTCTACCATACCAAATGGTCCATTGGTACTGGTTCTACCATACCTAATGGTCCATTGGTACTGGTTCTACCATACCTAATGGTCCATTGGTACTGGTTCTACCATACCAAAGGGTCCATTGGTACTGGTTCTACCATACCTAATGGTCCATTGGTACTGGTTCTACCATACCAAAGGGTCCATTGGTACTGGTTCTACCATACCTAATGGTCCATTGGTACTGGTTCTACCATACCAAAGCGTCCATTGGTACTGGTTCTACCATACCTAATGGTCCATTGGTACTGGTTCTACCATACCAAATGGTCCATTGGTACTGGTTCTACCATACCTAATGGTCCATTGGTACTGGTTCTACCATACCAAATGGTCCATTGGTACTGGTTCTACCATACCTAATGGTCCATTGGTACTGGTTCTACCATACCAAATGGTCCATTGGTACTGGTTCTACCATACCTAATGGTCCATTGCTACTGGTTCTACCATACCTAATGGTCCATTGGTACTGTTTCTACCATACCAAAGGATCCATTGGTACTGGTTCTACCATACCTCATGGTCCATTAGTACTGGTTCTACCATACCAAAGGATCCATTGGTACTGGTTCTACCATACCAAAGAAGCCCATGTTACTTGTCCTATCATATTAAAGGGTGCTTATGGAATTCCAGAAAAGTGTTGTGTACTGTAACCGTATGCTTCTTCGATTGTAAGTTTCAACAAAACAGTCCAAAAGCTCTGAGCGTGTAGTGATACCGATTGGTGAAAGGTAAGATAAGTAAGATTTATATCAGCTAGTACCTTTTGGTTTATCTCACAGCGACCATTTCATTTAACCATTTTAGCTCATTTAACGCGTGATCCAATAATAGTATATGACTATTTTACTGTTAATACGTTTTACTTGTTTTGTGTTACTACAACATTTTAATATACCCAATACCTTATATATATATATATATTTGAAATATAATAATAAAACAAAAAGTTAAAAAATAAATCATGTAATCATCTCTAGTCTTGTACATAACAGTTTGAGGCAGTTAAAGCACCCAAGCTGACGACAAGACAAATAGAACAGCAGACAAACAAATTGATGCAGATACTCATAATAAAGTCGGTATACAAATCAAGATGATTTAAGCTCTGACAACGTGGACACTACACGAAAGCAACACGCAATTAACAATCCACAGCAAGCAGTTACAGTACACATTGAGCCCCACACCATCATTTCTGGAATTCCCTAAGGACCCACTTACTTGAAGTCCTGGGGTTGCTACTGGTAATTGGCCTCGGGCTGGATGGGCTTGCGTTGGTATTCACGTTGGTACTGTTCTGACTGTTTATATTGGTGCTATTGCTAGTGTTGCTAGAATTTGTGTAAGAACTATTTTGGACAGCATTGTTCGTGTTAGTATTGATATTAGTGTTGGTAGTTGTGTTAGTGTTGATATTAGTCTGACTGTTTGTATTATTGTTATTCTTAATGTAGGAAGTAGTGTTGGTATTGGTGTTGGTGTTATTCTGATTGTGGGTGTTGGTATTGGTATTGATATTGGTGTTGGTGTTATTCTGATTGTTCGTGTTGGCATTGGTGTTGGTATTGGTGTTATTCTGATTGTGGGTGTTGGTGTTGGTGTTGGTGTTATTCTGATTGTGGGTGTTGGTATTTGTGTTATTCTGATTGTGGGTGTTGGTATTTGCATTGGTATTGGTATTGGTGTTATTCTGATTGTGGGTGTTGGTACTTGTGTTGGTGTTATTCTGATTGTGGGTGTTGGTATTTGCATTGGTATTGGTATTGGTGTTATTCTGATTGTGGTAGTTGGTACTTGTGTTGGTGTTGGTATTGGTGCTATTCTGATTGTTAGTGTTGGTGTTGGTGCTATTCTGATTGTTGGTGTTGGTATTGGTGTTGGTATTGGTGTTTGTGTTAGTGTTGGTGTTGGTACTATTCTGATTGTTAGTGTTAGTGTTGGTGTTGGTGTTGGTGTTGGTATTGGTATTGGTGCTATTCTGATTGTTAGTGTTGGTGTTGGTATTGGTGTTGGTGTTGGTATTGGTGTTGGTATTGGTGCTGGTATTGGTGCTATTCTGATTGTTAGTGTTGGTGTTGGTATTGGTGTTGGTGTTGGTATTGGTGCTATTCTGATTGTTAGTGTTGGTGTTGGTGCTATTCTGATTGTTGGTGTTGGTGTTGGTATTGGTGCTATTCTGATTGTTGGTGCTGGTATTGGTATTGGTGTTGGTGTTGACATTGGTGCTATTCTGATTGTGGGTGTTAGTGTTGGTGTTGGTGTTGGTATTGGTATTGGTGTTGGTATTGGTGCTATTCTGATTGTTGGTGTTGGCATTGGTGTTGGTATTGGTGTTGGTGTTGGTATTGGTGCTATTCTGATTGTGGGTGTTGGTATTGGTATTGGTGTTGATACTTGTGTTGGTATTGGTATTGGTGTTGGTGTTGGTATTGGTGCTATTCTGATTGTTGGTGTTGGTGTTGGTATTGGTATTGGTGTTAGTGTTGGTATTGGAGCTATTCTGATTGTTAGTGTTGGTATTGGTGCCATTCTGATTGTTGGTATTGGTGTTGGTATTGGTGCTATTCTGATTGTTGGTGTTGGTATTGGTATTGGTATTGGTGTTGGTGTTGGTATTGGTATTGGTGTTGGTATTGGTGCTATTCTGATTGTTCGTGTTGGCATTGGTGTTGGTATTGGTGTTGGTGTTGGTATTGGTGCTATTCTGATTGTTGGTGTTGGTGTTGGTATTGGTGCTATTCTGATTGTTAGTGTTGGTATTGGTGTTGGCATTGGTGCTATTCTGATTGTTGGTGTTGGTACTTGTGTTGGTGTTAGTATTGGTGTTGGTGTTGGTATTGGTGCTATTCTGATTGTGGGTGTTGGTATTGGTATTGGTGTTGGTACTTGTGTTGGTATTGGAATTGGTGTTGGTGTTGGTATTGGTGCTATTCTGACTGTTGGTGTTGGTGTTGGTATTGGTATTGGTGTTAGTGTTGGTATTGGAGCTATTCTGATTGTTAGTGTTGGTATTGGTGCCATTCTGATTGTTGGTATTGGTGTTGGTATTGGTGCTATTCTGATTGTTGGTGTTGGTATTGGTATTGGTATTGGTGTTGGTGTTGGTATTGGTATTGGTGTTGGTATTGGTGCTATTCTGATTGTTCGTGTTGGCATTGGTGTTGGTATTGGTGTTGGTATTGGTGCTATTCTGATTGTTGGTGTTGGTGTTGGTATTGGTATTGGTGTTGGTGTTGGTATTTGTATTGGTGTTGGTATTGGTGCTATTCTGATTGTTGGTGTTGGTACTTGTGTTGGTGTTAGTATTGGAGTTGGTGTTGGTATTGGTGCTATTCTGATTGTTAGTGTTGGTATTGGTGCCATTCTGATTGTTGGTATTGGTGTTGGTAGTGGTGCTATTCTGATTGTTGGTGTTGGTATTGGGATTGGTGTTGGTGTTGGTATTGGTGCTGTTCTGATTGTTGGTGTTGGTATTGGTATTGGTGTTGATGTTGGCATTGGTGCTATTCTGATTGTGGGTGTTAGTGTTGGTGTTGGTATTGGTATTGGTATTGGTATTGGTATTGGTGTTGGTATTGGTGCTATTCTGATTGTTCGTGTTGGCATTGGTGTTGGTATTGGTGCTATTCTGATTGTTAGTGTTGGTATTGGAATTGGTATTGGTGTTGGCATTGGTGCTATTCTGATTGTTGGTGTTGGTACTTGTGTTGGTATTGGTGCTATTCTGATGGTGGGTGTTACTGTTGGTGTTGGTATTGGTATTAGTGTTGGTATTGGTGCTATTCTGATTGTTCGTGTTGGCATTGGTGTCGGTATTGGTGTTGGTGTTGGTATTGGTGTTGGTATTGGTATTAGTGTTGGGATTGGTGCTATTCTGATTGTTGGTGTTGGTATTGGTGTTGTTATTTGCGTTGGGATTGGTTTTGGTATTGGTGTAGGTGTTGGTATTGGTACTTGTGTTGGTATTGGTGCTATTCTGATGGTGGGTGTTACTGTTGGTGTTGGTATTGGTATTAGTGTTGGGATTGGTGCTATTCTGATTGTTCGTGTTGGTATTGGTGCTATTCTGATTGTTGGTATTGGTGTTGGTATTGGTGTTGGTGTTGGTGTTGGTGCTATTCTGCTTGTTCGTGTTGGCATTGGTGTTGGTATTGGTGCTATTCTGATTGTTAGTGTTGGTATTGGTGCTGGTATTGGTGCTATTCTGATTGTTGGTGTTGGTATTGGTGTTGTTATTTGCGTTGGTATTGGTGTTGGTACTTGTGTTGGTGTTTGTATTGGTGTTGGTGTTTGTATTGGTGTTGGTGTTTGTATTGGTGCTATTCTGATTGTGGGTGTTCGTATTGGTGTTGGTATTTGCGTTGGTGTTGGTGCTATTTTGATTGTTAGTGTTGGTGTTCGTGTTGGTACTTGTGTTGGTGTTGGTATTGGTGTTGGTATTGGTACTATTCTGATTGTTCGTGTTGGCATTGGTGTTGGTATTGGTGTTGGTGTTGGTATTGGTATTGGTGCTATTCTGATTGTTGGTATTGGTGTTGGTATTGGTGCTATTCTGATTGTTCGTGTTGGCATTGGTGTTGGTATTGGTGTTGATATTGGTGCTATTCTGATTGTTGGTATTGGTGTTGGTATTGGTGCTATTCTGATTGTTAGTGTTGGTATTGATATTGGTGTTGGTGTTGGTATTGGTGCTATTCTGATTGTTGGTGTTGGTGTTGGTGTTGGTGTTGGTATTTGTATTGTTGTTTGTATTGGTGGTGTTGGTGTTGGTATTGGTGTTAGTGTTGGTATTGGTGCTATTCTGATTGTTGGTGTTGTTATTTGCGTTGGTATTGGTATTGGTATTGGTGTAGGTGTTGGTATTGGTACTTGTGTTGGTATTGGTGCTATTCTGATTGTTGGTGTTGGTGTTGGTATTGGAGTTATTCTGATTGTTGGTGTTAGTGATGGTGTTGGTATTTGTGTTGGCGTTGGTGTTGGTGTTGGCATTGGTGTTTATATTGGTGTTTGTGTTCGTATTTGTATTGTTGCTGCTTGTGCTGGTTTTACCATTGCTACTTGAATTGGTGTTGTTATTGTTACCTGTGCCCGTGTTGGTATTGCTACTGGTGCTGTTATTGGTTTTGCTACCCGTGCTTGAACTGCTACTCGTCCCGGAGTTGGTATTGCTGCTTGAACTTGAACTGCTATTGCTAGAGGTGCTTGAACTGCTACTGGTACTGGACCCGGAGTTGGTACTGCTGCTGGAACTGCTACTAGAGCTTGTGCTGCTATTGCTACTGGTACTTGTGCTGCTGCTACTACTGGTCCCGGAATTGGTATTGCTACCTGTGCCGATGCTAGTATTGCTATTGGAGTTTGTGCTGCTACCCGTGCTTGTACTATTAGTGCTACTGGTCCCGGTGTTAGAGTTACCACTAGAGCTTGCGCTGCTATTGCTACTGGTACTTGTGCTGCTGCTACTACTGGTCCCGGAATTGGTATTGCTACTGGTGCCGATGCTAGTATTGCTATTGGAGTTTGTGCTGCTACCCGTGCTTGTACTATTAGTGCTACTGGTTCCGGTGTTAGAGTTACCACTGGAGCTTGTGTTGTTACTGCTACTGGAACTGCTGTTGCTACTATTGCTGTTTGTGTTGCTGTTTGAATTGCCACTGGTGTTCGTATTAGAGTTACTACTTGAGTTGTTGCTGACATTGTGATTACCGTGATGGTTCGTGTTTCCGTTGATGCTCGATGTTATTGTCCCGCCGTCGATGTGTACGTGTACGTTTATGTCTATTCCGTGGTTTTTACAGCAGCTATGGCCATGGTGTTGATGACAACTTCCGCTATGTCCTCCGGAGTTTCCAGCTGAGTTTCCACCGGAGTGGCCTCCAGATTGACTTCCAGACGACACTGGAGGTTGTGTGGCGGGAGGTTTAGTTGATGGAGAGTTTGTTGGCTTCGGTTTCGAAGCTGCTGGGCCTACTGGACCGTTTCCAGAATTAGTTGGAGGTTTTGTATGAGCTGGCGAAGCGATATGAGGTTTTTGACTAGTGGGACCAGGTCCAGTAGATGCTGGTTTTGTTGAAGGCTTTGCATGAGCTTGCCCTCCAGGATGAGGCTTCGGGCCTGCAGGACCAGGTCCGGTAGATGCTGTTTTTGTTGAAGTCTTTGCATGAGCGGGCCCGCCATGATGAGGCTTCGGGCCTGCGGGACCAGGTCCGGTAGATGTTGGTTTTGTTGAAGGCTTTGCATGAGCGGGCCCGCCATGATGAGGCTTCGGGCCTGCGGGACCAGGTCCGGTAGATGTTGGTTTTGTTGAAGGCTTTGCATGAGCGGGCCCGCCATGATGAGGCTTCGGGCCTGCAGGACCAGGTCGGGTAGATGCTGGTTTTGTTGAAGGCTTGGCATGAGCTGGCCCGCCATGATGAGGCTTCGGGCCTGCAGGACCAGGGCCGGTAGATGCTGGTTTTGTTGAAGGTTTTGCATGAGCTTGCCCGCCATGATGAGGCTGTGGGCCTGCAGGGCCAGGTCCGGTAGATGCTGGGTTTGTTGAAGGCTTTGCATGAGCTGGCCCGCCATGATGAGGCTTTGGGCCTGCAGGACCAGGTCCCGCGGAGGCTGGTTTTGTGCGGGGTTTGGGTGCATATGCTCCTGCAATGTCAAATGGGATACCATGTCTGTCAACTGCCGATTTTCGGGGTGGAACTACGTCATTTTGCTCGTTTTCTGGTACTACTCCTGAAACGAAAACAAATAGTCATTGTTATCATATGTTCTGTTTATATATGAAATATGTGTCTGCTATATCTATCTGTCCGTCTCGGCCTATGTATCTCTCTATATGTATAACTGACATCATCATAAACCATTCCCTTCCAAACCTTACTGAGGTCAGGTGTCACACGAGGAAAATACTGGACACAAACCTGACTTGGCGGTGTAAATATCGTTGTTACACCAACTCTCGTCACAGCAGAACGTACATTTCCCCTCAAAGTCGCCCATACTAGCCCAATAACACTCCTCAGGGTTGTTCTCTTCCTTATTCATGCAAGTCTGTGAATTCAGAAAAATAAAATATAATTGAAAATACCGTGATGAAATGGAAAATTGTGACATTTGTCTGACTAGGTGCGCGGTTATACGTCAACTCCATTAAGTGATAAATATGGAAATTTGAATTATTTTTATCCAGAGAAACAAATAACATCTCCTGCCTAGTTTCATATAGTTCTTGTAACTGTCATACTCCCGTAATACTACTTGGTGTTTTTCTATTGGTTAATCATACAGTTTGTACAGAATACCATTTGTTTGAATCTTTGACATAAAAGAGAAAGATGGTTGTCTTCCTGAATCTGATAACACTTAGTCGTTACCAATTTATGCGACAACGGGAATTTGGAACATAAAACAAAGACTCGGAGTGGTAATGACGAGTTGTCTCCCATTGACAGGGTACCGGAACCTTGTAAGCAATACGATTTGTCTATAAACATATGTTCCTATAGGGAACGCAATGCACTTGTAAGTCACTCTTTTCCAAACTTTCGGGCTTAGCCTTTCGTCAGGGATTAAATGTCACTGGACCTCTATGTCACATCCATCTTGACACAACATGTTGATTCATTAAAATGATTAAATACGATTTGATCGATACCTCCAGATGAAACATCAGCACTGACTATTTTGCCGCGGTTAAAGAAGTGGCCCATGGAGTAAATGTGTATTACACTAGGAGTCTATCTATATAATGAACATTGTTAGCACTTTTAGACGCTGGAATAAAGGTTGTGTACATCAATGTCAAGCTGTATCCCTAAAAAGCTTTCTGTATACCGGAAAAGTGTTCGCCCTGTCTAGCTGTATACCGGAAAATGTTTCGCCCTGTTTAGCTGTATACCGAAAAAGCTTTCGCCCTGTCAAACTTTCTCAATCGCCAGTAAAATCCATATTCGAATTATTCGACTAGTTTTAATTTCACCCTTCATATTTAATGACTATGTATATTTTGTTAATTATTAACTAATGTTCGATGAATGATAAATTCGCCATCATTACGGAGGGCAAAAAAAGGCGAAAAATGAACTACAGCGAAAATGTCCGGGAATACATCATTACGGAGGGCAAAACAGGCGAAAAATGAACTACAGCGAAAATGTCCGGGTATACATCATTACGGAGGGCAAAAAAAGGCGAAAAATGAACTACAGCGAAAATGTCCGGGTATACATCATAACGGAGGGCAAAAAAGGCGAAAAATGAACTACAGCGAAAATGTCCGGGTATACATCATTACATTACTATATTATCAATATAATATGAAAGTTGACACTTCGCATTCACATTCTTGAATAAAGGTCAATGCAAGTGATGACTCAGAATTTGTAGCCGTGATAATTCGTCATTGTTGTTTGCAGAGTGATCACCCCCAAAAAATAAAATCTGTTTTACTGTGTTACCACTTGATAATATTGTTATTAAATGCGCCACAATTAATCTAACTGTGACATAAAAACACGACCAGACTTACTGTGACGTGAGAACATCCCTTGAGGATGGTGATGTCCCCTCGATCTCCATACACGTACTGGGTCATACATTGTGCCTGTAGGAAAGTAGATATTATATAAGCGTACAAAAGAAACACTCGGAACCAGATAATGGGAAGCAGTGGAGCACTGCTGTTCCTAATCTTCTAGTTTCATGTGTTTGTTTCTTTTTACAGTAAAATTATTTGTATTCGAGATTCTTCTAAAATCTATACGCATAAAGTGCCTTAAGTTAATCCACATTGCATTAAGAAGGGCTGATATATTTTCCTGTGTATTTTGTCGACATTAAATACATTGTGTATGTATACTATATTATCCGTATTGGAAATAAAATCGTTTTAAAAAATCGTAAACAAACTCCAAGCTGCATTAATCGAGCAGCTCACCGTTCAGTTAATCTATTTTACATATGACTTTAATATAGAATCATGACTCCATCGTTTACATCATTTACTTTGATTAGGTAACAAAAACGTTTTGTCATGATTAGGTCGGTTTTGACAATCTATGTAAATTCTTTCGAAATAAAACAGGATTTACGCTATCGATCAAACAACTGTTATTATTCTTTTACAAGAAGCATATTTGTAAGATTTCCCAATGATAAAAATGTTTAAAAACAACAGGTCCTTGATATACAATCTCAATAAAGATTAACACTCACGTGACCAGCTTGACACATAGATGTCTCTGCACATAGTTCGCCTTCCTTTAAGTCAACGCATGCGTAACAGCTGAATTCTGGTTTCCTCTTTGATGGGGCTCCATCCACCCCCAAACCTAAACCAAGGGAATAATGGCAAAAGTTTTAAAATATTTATCACGATTTTATTGCTGTACATTGCCATTGTATTATCATGCCACGTAAAATCCTATAAGGGAATTTCAGGACTTGACGCCTATCTCCTAGCTCATGAACTTGTGAGGATATGAAGTTTTTGCACACGATCCCCTTGTCACATACAACCTCTGTGGGGAATCTAATGCATTGTCTCACGATCTCCCTGTCATATCAGCCTTCTATGACGAATCATAAGTCTTGGCACACGATTCGCAGTTATAAAAAACTTTCTATGAGGAAGGTAGTTGAGTGGAATTGCATAAGACGACAGTGATCACACATTAATACTCAACATGAGAAACTCACGCATTTATTGACTTTACTGTCACCGTGACATTTGAAAATAATAGTACATCAGGAAACAAACCAGTTCTCTGCTCCATTATGACATAAGCTGCGCGTAACTCTTGTTGTTGCTAGTCTAGTGTGTCGGAAATATTGTCATGTGCAGCGTTATTGATGTAAGGTTGCTAGGAGCGGAAGACACGAGGAGGGGCATTTCTTGTTCTTTAAAGATGTTACTGTTATACGCAAAATTTATTTTACTAAGAGTAATAATTCCTTTTTTTTTTAAATATAATGACTAGATCCCCGTCTTCATAATAAGTCCTTCTTTATCTTGATTGACTGTGTTCTCTCTAGACACAGTATGCAGTATTTAGCTGTCCTCAAATGGGCAGCACAAACAAAATCTGTGTAATCTGTGGTATATATAATACAAACACAATTTCTTTCTATTTGAGTAATTTGTTTTAAAGTATTTATCATTTTAAGTCAAAATCCATATTAAATTAGGATATAGTATCTTGGTTCTGATTGGTCGTTCTGTTCTGCAGCAAAGGTGTACGTTTTTATGACGGAATCTGTGCATTTAATGCCATCGCAACAATTACCATGGGCAACGGGGAAAGACCTCCCCTTGGATGGATGTGTAAATGTTCAAAATGAAGTTGAACTGATGTTCCATATATTTAGTATCACTCTAGATATTCTGTAACTTGAGTAGCATGTTCTAACTTAGATATTAAAAAACAAGGTTTTTCGCTGTTTCCTGATAAGTCACTCCATTGACTATACGCTGTACGTAGTAACGTAACTTTCCTGTCACCAAAATCACCACGTTTAGGAACAATCTGTTAGATTGCCCAACCCTGTGATAGCAGTTATTCATAGCTAGGTGATCAGGTGTAGACGAGAGAGGACGGGAGGAGGTAAATAATTAGCAATCTAAGTCAACAAGCCCCCTACACTTTGTTGACACACGGCCTTGGTAGTATCAACGTCTGAAATATAGAGTAGAATATCATTATCTCTAAATAGAAGCTGTTCGTTCCCGCATTCCAGCTGTATATTATACAAATATGGTCTTTACAGGACGAATTGTTTGAGCACAGAATGCTTTACTCTACACTCGGCTATTTACAATGTTTAGAACCAACTACATACTCATTCCACCGCTAAAACTCTAGCTATATACATATTGATGTTTGATTCAACAGGACACCAGACGTCAATTAAGGTTTATTTTACAGTATAAATTATAGGATAACTATTTCTTAAGAATACGAGTCTATCATTCCCTTACCTCAGAAGGGGAAGGGTACAATTGCAGTTACGGAGTATAACACCTGATTTGTTTATATAAAGGATTTGAAAAGAAAAGCCAGTTACAGACCAGTAAGGTTTTCACATCAATGAGAGGTTAGTTGGCAGGACATCTTGAAGAGAAGGACAGGTTATGTGAGCTACAGTATGAGGGCTGGAAAAGAACGTTCGACTCCATTTAAAGTGTTTGAAAGTACTAGTTAATATTACAGATAAATAACCAGGACACGGTTTGCATACACGGCAATTTTATAAGGTACGACATGTACAGGATTTATAAGAACGACGATCAACTTCAATAGCTGTCCGTGGTACCTATTTCAGTAACCAAGTTTTTCACTAACAGCACTTATATATAGAAAGAGATATAAAAGTAGGCTGTGACAATAGTCAGAAAAGTGACATCTCAAATTCAGCATAGGAAAACATAACAAGGCACTAAACAAACACATGCGCAACCCCGCAAGAAAACAGCAAATATTTTAAACACAGGGAAGTGCAGACGCAATAAGCTTAGATAAGTCATGAGCGTGTTAACTCAGACTCGTGTCCTATCAGGAAAATTTGTTGATTTTGACCCCCATTATGTCAGCAGCGGTTTTCATTTCCTTTATATAAAAATTCAACAAAAGTTTTAATAAATCAGCAGCCTTTTTCATAATATGAATTTATAATTCACCTAAATTATCATATTTCTTTCTGTATTTGTTTAAGCACCCTTAAAAAATACAATGCAGTTTTTACAGAAATTCTATTTTTTAAAGTTAAACAGTTTCTTACTTTTTATTATTACTTATGAAAAAAGGATTTTTTGTCTTTTGAAATCTTCAAAAAATGGGTCAGGGCAATTTACTACAATTCTTGGAATACACTACCTTAATTCAAGTGTCAAAGGTCAAATGCAACTGGACCACCCTTAAAAGAGCCTCAGAAATGGATTTTGTTTTAATTGCAGTTAAATATTATTGCATAAATATTAACAAAGTGATACTTTTGTAGTAAAACAATTTCGCAACTTTTAAACAATCGCAATGAAACGTGAAAAAAAAATCTGGAAAAGAATCTTTCAGTGACAGAAATTTAGTCCACAAAATGCGTTAAAGATATATTTTCTTGAGTGTTAATCCCCCACCACCACAAAACATTATGTAAGGTTTAAACTAATGCATTCCGAATTCAGAAGATATTAACTGAGCGGTTTATTTGCATTAAGTATACCGATCGCTTTGAACACAAACAGCTTACAAATATTGTCTATGAATATTTGCTTTGACCAATGTGTATATTTCAGTTCAAATGTAAAAATTAGTAAGCTCTATGTAAATTAAATCATATGCGTAAAATTAAAATAAAGAACTTAAAAAACGTAGATACATTTCAAGCGTTGAAAAGATTTCATCATTGAGAAGCTTGGCAATGCTGTTATTCGTTTGTCAAGTTTATGTCATACCTGCAAGGAGACAGATCAGTACTAGGTATGTCTTCATGCTTGGGAGTCTTCGGTCATCTGAGGCAGCTCTAACGGATGGTCTCCATATCTATAATTCCTGGTAGTCCTAATCTCTGTTAGTGGGTGTATTTAATCCACATCTGATAACGGGCGTTGTCTGCGCGTGTGTCCACTTTATACCATTAATTTACCACAAGAGGGGCGTATATTTGTCAATATATCATTTTGATAAAAGAAAGTGAAACGTAAATTTTCACGATGTGACGCCAATAGAATATCTTTTTTTTGTTAAATGGGCAAGTTATAACTTTGTAACTATTTGTGTTATATTTTTTCTGTGTGAAGGGTGACAACCATAGTGACTCATCCCAGGTTTATTCGCTCTGATTTGAACACAAGATATCTCTATAGTATTCATGTGTTCCAACAGCTATCCTATGTATCGCCTACATTGGATATCAACTGATAACACAGGGTATCGCCGACATATGATATCTTATGATTACACGATGTATCGCCTATATCGGTTATCTTATGATTACACGATGTATCGCCTATATCGGTTATCTTATGATTACATGAAGTATCGCCTTTATCGGTTATCTTATGATTACACGATGTATCGCCTATATCGGTTATCTTATGATTACATGAAGTATCGCCTATATCGGTTATCTTATGATTACATGAAGTATCGCCTATATCGGTTATCTTATGATTACATGAAGTATCGCCTATATCGGTTATCTTATGATTACATGAAGTATCGCCTATATCGGTTATCTTATGATTACACAATGTATCGCCTATATCGAGTACCTAATGATTTCACGAAGTATCGCATATATCGGATATCTTATCTGGATTACACAGGGTATAGGCAATATTGGATATCGTATGATTGCATGAAGTATCGCCTGTATCGAATATCATATAATAACATAAAGTATCGCCAATATCGGTTATCCCATGATATCATGAGGAATCGCCTGTATCAGATATCTTATCTGGATTACACAGGGTATAGGCAAATTGGATATCGTATGATTGCATGAAGTATCGCCTATCGGATAACTTATGATTACATGAGGTATCGCCTGTATCGGATATCTACTAATTACGTAATGTTTTGCATATATCGGATATCTTATGAATACACGATGCATCGCCTACACAGATATACCTATTATAACACCATGTATCGCATAAACAGATATACCTTTTATTACACGATGTATCGCCTACACAGATATACCTTTTATTACACGATGTATCGCCTACACAGTTATACAGATATACCTTTTATTACACGATGTATCGCCTACACAGTTATACCCTCATTACACGATGTATCGCCTACACAGATATACCTTTATAACACGATGTATCGCCTATACAGATATACCCTCATTACACGATGTATCGCCTACACAGATATACCTTTATTACACGATGTATCGCCTATACAGATATACCTTTATCACACGATGTATCGCCTTCACAGATATACCTTTATTACACGGTGTATCGCCTACACAGATATACCCTTATTACACGATGTATCGCCTACACAGATATACCTTTACTACACGATGTATCGCCTAAACAGATATACCCTTATTACACGATGTATCGCCTACACAGATATACCCTTATTACAAGATGTATCGCCTACACAGATATATCTTTTATTACACGATGTATCGCCTACACAGATATACCCTCATTACACGATGTATCGCCTACACAGATATACCTTTTATTACACGATGTATCGCCTACACAGATATACCCTCATTACACGATGTATCGCCTATACAGATATACCTTTTATTACACGATGTATCGCCTACACAGGTATACCCTTATTACACGATGTATCGCTTAAACAGATATACCTTTTATTACACGATGTATCGACTGTACAGATATACCTTTTTATTACAACATGTATCGCCTACACAGATATACCTTTATGACACGATGTATCGCCTACACAGATATACCTTTTATTACACGTTGTATCGCCTATACAGATATACCTTTTTATTACACGATGTATCGCCTACACAGATATACCCTCATTACACGATGTATCGCCTACACAGATATACCCCCATTACACGATGTATCGCCTACACAGAGATACCCTCATTACACGATGTATCGCCTACACAGGTATACCCTTATTACACGATGTATCGCCTATACAGATATACCTTTTTATTACACGATGTATCGCCTACACAGATATTCCTTTTTATTACACGATGTATTGCCTACACAGATATACCTTTTATAACACGATGTATCGCCTACACAGGTATACCCTTATTACACGATGTATCGCCTATACAGATATACCTTTTTATTACACGATGTATCGCCTACACAGATATACCCTTATTACACGATGTATCGCATACACAGATATACCCTTATTACAGGATGTATCGCATACACAGAACATATTATGAATACACGAAATAAGCTGGCCTTCCGTATCCCACTTGCATTATCGAGTCAGGAGGACTAATGTTCGACCTGCGGAGATGGAGCTTTTTCCACAATTTGATGACATTTTTTGTCTATATCCACAGCAATACTTGGGATTTTTCTCTTATTATCTATGACTATATTTGTTACTTTTTTGTGGCTTTGTTGTGTTACTTTATTGGTAATGTTATAACTTAATTATAGATTCTTATATAATTTTCCTTTATTTGTGACTGTACGTGTGATGTATTGGTTTATGTTTCACTTTTGGACTATTTGTGAAGTGTTTTCATTTTTTTTAAACAATGACCTTATGGTAACTTCATAACCGCGCACACAACCTTATACAAGGCTTTAATTTCATTTAAGACTCGTTTTTATGTGTTATACATTTTTATCTTTATTGGTTATTTTTTTACTTAATTAAGACGTTATGAATTATCATTAAACACTATGTCTTTATCCATAACTATATCGGAGACTTTTTGGTAACTTTAATTCAAAACTTTCTGACTTCATTATGATTTCAAAAGTGTATTGCTTTTGACATTACTTTCTGACTTCATGACAATATTTCCGACATTACTTTAGACGTTGAGTTTATTTCTGACTTTATTTTAGACTTTGAGTTTATTTCCGATATTGTTTTAGACTTTAAAAGAAGAAAATATGGACAGAAATATTTGCCAAGAAAGATGGAAAATAATATCTCAGTGACAGCATTTTAATAAACCAAGTGTGGTAAAAGGAATTCTAGTTGTTTTTTCTTAATCATGAAATCCCCTTCCCTTAAAAATAAAATTAATAAACACACTAAAAAAAGAAACGCCAAAACAAAGAAAAAGTAATAACAAATAAATCAACTATTTAAGAAAAACAATAAATATTACTAGGACAAACAACTGCATGATGTATCTGGTCTTAAGTTTGTTTCGCATTTTTGTACCATCTGTAACATAAATATTTGCCAACATTTCCAAAATCCATATTCAAGTATTTTCGATCTGATTTTTATTTTCACTATTGTCCTTGTCTTGGACAAAGTTATTGCTGTTTGGAAATTTGTGAAAAAAGTGTGTAGCGTGTGTAAGTGTGACACAAACTAAACTTTATATTAGATAAACCCGTTCATTATACTTTATAAAACAGAGTAAATACGAGCATTAAACTTCATATCAAACACAAAAGCATTACACAAAATAAAAATAAACACGTGTATTATACTTTATATCAAATTAACACATATCTTACACTAAATACCAAATAAATATGTGACTAGCACTTGATATGACATTTAACACTTTGACTTTTCTTTCTATAAAACCACACCTGCATAACACTTTATTTTACATACATCTTACTTGATAAATTGCCAAATTACACTTTATATCAATACACGCTTCATTGGATTTCATATTAGATAACAACCATTACCCTTTATATCAATACAAGCTTCAATGAATTTAATATTAGATAACAACCATTACTCTTTATATCAATAACCGCTTCATTGGATTTCATATTAGATAACAACCATTACACTTTCTGAAAATAAACACGTGCATTGGACATCTTATCACATACAATGTAAACACGTGCGCTGGACTTAGTATCACATAAACACATGTATTAGACTTTATATCAAATAAACTCATGAGTTACACTGGATATCAACATTGTCCATTATTTAAAGTCGTGTGGATACCACCTTTGAGAAACAGAAACACAATTTACACATTCTGACACTGTATCAAATAAACATTAGAATATTTAGGTCATCACCGAGACAAACCATCATCATGGTCAACGACAAATAGTTAAGTTTACGACAAACTAGATAGAGATCATGCATCGTTAATACTCTGCCTACAAACTAGGATATTAACACTGTAATCCCGTCTCTACTTGACCGGTCTCGAATGTAGTATTTTATAGAACCATAGGGGTCAGTCTAGCGGTCATACAATCAACAGCCGCGGTAAGAGTGTGGGTGTGTCGGGGGATCATTCCTAACGCCGTCAATATGTGTCAGTCATTATAGCAGAAGGCGATAACCACTTATGTGTCTGTCTCGTAAGTTAAATTAGTGTTGACACCAAGATATTGAATTATTAAACACACAAATAAGTCTGTTTCATAGCAAATTCATATGATAAAATGCGAGTGAGCAAACAGCTAAAGGGTTTTTGTATTTCGTAAACCAGAAAAAACCCACCATCGAGCATTGTTTATCAAATTTGTCATGAATTGTTCTGTTATCTTGTGTTTATTTCAAATGTGACATCATGTACCATAAAAGGTATACATCGGTATATTTGACATAACTATGGTTAACTTTCTATGCGCTGCCTTACTTACAAAGGTTAATTGTGACATTATTATACCTGATGTATTGTTATTAGTAGAAATGTTCACTGTGATATTGATAAGTCTGAAGTGTTGCTTCCTTACAAAGGTTCAATATGAAATTATTATACCTGAAGTATGTTACAGTAGAAATGTTCATTGTGACATTATTATACCTGAAGTATGTTCCAGTAGAAATGT